AGACTCAGCATTACTATTGTAACTGGGAATGACTTGGGCAAATTTAATCCAACTTCCCTGAATATTTGATTAATCTCAGACCAAGAGGAAAATCAAGGTAAGATAGGAAGTTTCCATCTGCACTGTGGGCAGAGGAAGTTGGGGCTTCCAGGGCCCACAAAAGGCCACACATGACCCCTTCCCCTGGGATCCCTTTCTTTAAGTTCCCTGTGACAGTTTTGGGTCTGGCTTCAAGTCCTTGAGAAATCTGTCGCCATCCTTGTCCTTGTGAAGCTACCAACCTTTACTGTCAGGATTTGAGTTAGAGTCCCACCCCCCAAGACAATCCTGGAGCTTGAGGGCAAATTTGAGCCCCAAACTTGAGATGTAGCTCAACCTTTGACCACTAGATGTCTCCTGGAAAGCAATGACCCATATAACCTGGTTTATCCTCCTTCAAACCAATAGACTTGTTGCTCTAAGACTTGACGAGCCTGCTCTGCTGGAGGCCACCTTATTAATATCGCCACCCACCCCACTGCTTATGATGGCGCCAGGCTTAGAGGGGGATGGGACCAGGTGGCTGACCCTCAGACAGTGCTCGCTGTTTAATCCACGCAACAATCTGCACAATCTAGGGCTATCCCCTCGAACCCCACTTCTTGACCAAGGAAGAGGGGAAAGCGACCCAGAAAAACCCAAGGTTCCCAGGTATGCAGCCCGGAGACCCTCAGATTTGAACCAGCGACGAAACTCCTAAGGGACCAGTGTTCAGAATCACCTAGCATAAGGTCCCTCAACAGTCCATGTCTCCCATTTCTTCCCACTCATTCCCGCTGCCCCCACCCTGCCCTCCCTTTTGCCTAGGGATCATCAAAAGTGGCTCGTTGGAGGGACATTAGGGAACCATTCAACGTCCCTGTTTTGATCCGCGTGGTGTTTTCTGGAAAAATTAGCGGCTTCTAGCTGGAAGAGGAAAGAAAAAAAGGGGGGGGGAGGGTGCGGGGAGGGGGAGCAAGAAAGGAAACAGCCAGGTTGAATTCCCAGTCTTTATCAAGCAATTCGCTCACCAATGAAAGAAAGCTGCAGTGGCAGATTCGAGCCACATGCGGTAGTGTGTAGCAATTAGTAGATAAAATGCTGACTAAAGTGCTAAAACATGAAGTATTATTGTAGCCAAGGTCAAAAATGCTTCAGTTGTCTTTTGCAATTTGGGGGAGGGGAGGCCCAGGGGTTCGCAGAGAGATTTGCATTTTCGAAATGGTCGCCTTCTTTCTTCAAACTGTACTTTTTTTTTTTTTTTATGATCCTGTTTATTATAGTCCAAGCTGCCTAATTATGTCACTGCTGGTTTTTGGAACTAACTTAATCCTCCTGATCTTTTATGAAACGATTCACAGACACTGAATAATGTGTCCCTGCTCCCTCACCCCCATGAGGGCTGAGAATGATTTTTAATTTTTTATCTTTTAAATATATCAGATAACTTAAAACAGAGTTGAATTTCTGGCTAATAAGACAGTAGGAATATAGTTGTGTGGGTATAGATAGGCTCCTGTGTTTCAGTACAAGAAAGATCCCAGAAATAGTGAGTCGTATAAAATATATACTGTTTCCCCCCACCTCCTCTTTTATACACAGCAAGTCCCAGCTACAAGCTTTTTTTATAGATAAATAAAGCAGTTGCTTTCATGATTATAACTGTCCTGAATGGATTGTCTTCTTACAACATTCAATCTGTTTATGAGTATTTACTTTACATTAGCCCAGGGACCCTGCACTGCAGGAGTTTGCCTCTATTCCCCTGGGTGTCGGTGTCTCAAGTCTTACATCTGCTCTGTGATTGATGGAGCCTTGAATCCACGTTATTACTCTCTCACAAGCAGAAATCAAACAGGCTATTAACTACATTACTTCAAAGAACTGTTTCAATACAATCTCCTTATCTTAATTGAAACATTCTTTGTATGGATATTTGCTACACAGATAATTTACAGGTGCCTATCAAGCATCACATTAAAGAAGAGGTAAAATAGAGGAGGCTTTTTTTTTTTTTGGGGGGGGGGGGTTACCACTATTGTGATCTGTAATTTTAAAAACCATTCACAGTATTGGGACCAGGTTTGATTTATTAGATTTTTTATGTTCATGGTAGTGCTTATGGTGCTGTAAAAAACAGGGAAAAGATAACCCTGTGATTCAGTTTTGAAATTTAGCATTCTTCTGATTACAAGAATGCAGATATTCAAAAACATTCAGACCCAGGTCCCTGCAATTGTTAACATCTCAGAAACCTTATCAGAGAGATTAGGCAGCATGCAGCTAGTTCACTGCCTACCTTGAAGAGATATGGAAACAGGGTTTCTAATTAGACTAAGTTGGTTACAGACACTTAAAGACTTACAGCACTAGTGACAGCAGAAGTTGCTTAGATGCTGTAAAGAGCTGTGTATTTTTTAAGAGAGAGATCTAATATACAATCGAGGGATACCCTCAGGCATTCTGTTGAGGTTTCCTGCATAAATGCTGCTGCATTGGTCATACAGGAAACTGACTCAGAGTCGATCTCAAATAAGATCTTGTCAAAATACTGCAACTCAAGTTTTTTAATATAGGATTTCTTGAACTGGATGTATATATTTATGCTAACAGGACAGAGATTAACAGAAGCCTGAGGCATATGTCATGTATTTAAAAAAAATAAAAAGGAAAATGCCTTTCAGTCATGTCCACTCATAGGTTAAAAATGAACAAAATGGGTTATTCTAATCAAATGTCTGCAGTATGCATCATAAAGTTAAAGAGGGAGAGAAAGAGGGCTAGAGAGCTGTAATTTCTCTTTGTAACCCATGTTTATAAAATAGGAAGATCAGATGGAATTTAAAGGGAGATAATTAAAGAGTGATGTGCAAGTCATAATTTGGCTAATGCAAAAGATGGGAGACTGAATTGTTACATTGTCGTCCTCCATGGTGCAGAGTTGTGATATTACTTTAAATTATTAAAATAGTTTTCAACAGCTTTCAGAATACTGGCTCTTTGGCATGGGCTTTTATTACTTATTGTAATTGGAGGATCTGCCATTTTCTTTCGTTTATCTCTGTGTGTATAGAAACGAGATAGATCTTGCCTTTTATTACTTCCCCATGTTCTGAATCAAAAATGTGGTTTAGATAATGTTAAGTGCCCTAATTCTTACTGCAGAGGACGCAGACATTATGAAAAGGCATAAAATACACACAGAGGGTCTTTCCACCTCAAGTCACTGAATATGAGGCATTTGTGCTCTACTGGGTATATTAACTTCAGCCATGTGAATATAATTTTCATTAAAGTAATCCTGTTTCAACTAGAAGCTGTGACTAGAGGTGAAACGTTGCGAAAGCGTTAAAAATAGCTTACTAGTAATTTCAACATCCTGTAATTTTATCACAGATCAAGTTTCAACTGTCATACTATACAGACCTTATTCCCCATATAGTACATGTTTACTTTTTTAGCATGCCAGATCCACTTTGGGAAGATTGGTGCCAATATAATAAAATCGCGGAGGGGGGGTGGTGCTGGAAGAGTGGGAGGAGAGCGGAGAAGGGGTGGGGGAACGTGGGGGAACGTGGGGGAAGCGAGTACACCATTTTACATCAACACTGCGAAAATGCAATCTAGCCTGGCGGAGGACCGGCAGCTGGGTCGGAGCGAGCGAGGGCTTTGCAGTCTCTGCCTGTTCCTTGTTCTGTCGCTCTTAAGTTTCTCTGTGTTTGCATAATAGCCTTGCATGCAAACCTCGCAATGCTCCAGGGCTCCAGAACAATAAATATACACATTTAAAGCCTTTATTGTCTTACGGTTCGTGCCCCCGGTTTTCAACAGCTTAATTTCTGGTTGTATTTAACTAGTTTGCAAATGGATTTTTTCAGTTTCAAACTATTATTGAGGAAGCTCCCCTCCCTTTTTTGGCGGGGGAGGGGATGGGGGTGGGGTAGGAGTCGGTATATTATTCCTGTAGCGCTGGGTTATATAAACACATTATCATTTGAGAGCGCCCTTGGCGTCCATCAGCATTGTAAACACGTACTAGTGTATATACTTCAAAATTAAAGAATGCACACGCAGAACCGGGAGCCTGAATTCATATTCCGAGCAGACTCACTGCTTGCATTTATTGATTTATCATGCATCGTTTATTGTTCCAGTCCCTAAATGCAGTTGCTGTCCGTTCAATATTGTTTGCAAAATCCCGAGATATGTGTGCACTGCTCACTTGTCTTTCTGTTCTTCTTCTGTTTTTTTTTTTTTTTTTTTTTTTTTTGGCTGAGTATTTTTTTGCGAAGCGAACAAATGCATTAATATTTATATGTTTATATAATCGATAACCCACTTTTCCCTTCCATGTAAATAGGCATCAAAAGATAATTTAACAGATTAGTTCTCGAAAACATGGCAGTGAGGAAGCGTAATTTAACTATCAAACAAATCTACATGTCTAATAACAGCAAATCTGCTAAGGAGCATTAGAAAGAGGAGCAGCGCCCCGGAATCTCTGCAGGAAATGTTCTTTATATTAGACATATACAAGCAGGTCCTGTCAGATACACAGCAGAGCTCTCGAGCCCTGACCTCCTCCAAAAATTTTATCAGACGATACACTTAGACAGTGACGGTTAGAAAGAGAAAGATCTCGTCTTCACACAGTTTAAGCGTGGATTTTATTTTTACAAATCTTCCCATCTGGTTTTTTGCCTTGATCACTTCGCTTCCCGCCGAGATCGGACAGAGCCTTTCTCCCGATTATGAATTTGATCAACCCATATTTGGAAGGAAACCCACATAGTTTTGACAGGAGCTGAAAATTGAGTCGTCAGAGAAATATTAGGACATATTTTAAATTATTTTGGTGCTAAAGGGGAGGCAAGAGCTCAATTTTATATTGAGACATTACGCCGGCTGAAGGCAGAGAATGTTTTTCCCTGCCAGGACCTGATGCAATCCATTCACGCCAACAAGTTTGGAGAGAATGTTGAGTTCAATCAATTCAGAACGTCGAGATGGAGCCCAACTCACTCCAGGTATTTTGCTCTCCTCCGCTCCTCCGATCCCGGTACCCCCCGGCACCCCCCAGCCCTCCAGCTCACCCACACCTCTGCACCCACCCACACCCCCCACAAACTTTTCACCAAACTTTTACCCTCTGCATCCCCCCAAATGATTTTTATTGTTTAAAAAAAAAAATCCCTGCACTGATCATACATACATAATGTGATTTTACCGCCTCAGATGGGGAGGTGGGAAGGGGTGGCGGGCGGGAGGGGGGTGGCGGAGGGTTGTTTTTTTTTTTTTTTTTTACGGGGGGCGGAAAACTGGTGGGCTCTGTCTTTTTTTTTTCCCCCCCGGTATTATATCTGTGGGCTCGTCTGTATTAAGAGTGGGGATGTCTGTGTGTAAATGTGTCTGGGAATAGATGTTTGTGTTCTGATGGCTACATTATTTATTTGGTGCTTTTTTCCCCCCTGCAGTGGGTCGGCTCACCGTGTGGTTTGCACGGACCTTACATTTTCTACAAGGCTTTTCAATTCCACCTTGAAGGCAAACCAAGAATTTTGTCCCTTGGCGACTTTTTCTTTGTAAGATGTACGCCAAAGGATCCGATTTGCATAGCGGAGCTCCAGCTGTTGTGGGAAGAAAGGACCAGCCGGCAACTTTTATCCAGCTCTAAACTTTATTTCCTCCCAGAAGACACACCCCAGGGCAGAAATAGCGACCATGGCGAGGTGGTAAACCTATCTCTCCCTCTCTTCTTTCTTTATTATTTTTTCCCCTAGTAATGCTTATTACAGGGCAAGCTTGAAAATACTGTATTCACTTCTGCAGGCGAGCAGGATCCACTCCTTTTTTAAAGGGGTAGCGCCACTAGCTGGGGCTCGAGTATTTTGCCATTGTCAGAGTTTGGCTGTCAGCTTTACAAAGAGGATCCAACTGCTGATTTTAGTCAAGATCAAATAACTTGTTCGAGAAGGGTTTTGTTCAAAGATGTGTGTGTCTGTGTGTGTGTGTGTGTGTGTGTGTGTGTGAGAGAGAGAGAGAGAGAGAGAGAGAGAGAGAGAGAGAGAGATCGCTCTTCTGCTAACTGCCGCTTGAACATCACATGCTTTTTATATTTTTTGCCTTTTGAAAATTTACCTTCGTGTCTAGCTTGGTCGGGGCTGGGTGGATTTCTTTCGGTGGGTTTCGATATTGTTCACGTTTTTTTTTTTTTTTAAGTAAGTATTTGATATGTTTAAGAGGGCGGAAATTACGAAATGGAGGCAGAATGAGATCAAAAGCTATTGAGTTGGCAAAGACGTGTTGAATAAAGTGATAAATGACAGGTACTGGAATAATACATTCAAATAACTTGCAGATCTGCCCGGGCGGATTTCAAAGCGGTCGTGTAACCGGCACAAACACGTTAAGCATTAACAACTATCTCTCGCCCACTCCCCCCGCCGCCCCCCCCGCCCCGACAAGCCATTTGATGTTCTAGTTTTCAATTACTCCACGCAAAGTGGACGTCTTCCAGCGCGATCTTTGGGGGTGTGTGGAACAGGGCGGGGGACAGGAGGGAGGGCAGAGGGGTGTGAACTCGCCCACTGGCCCTGCGGGTCCAGCGCCCTCCGTGCCCAGACAGCGCTCCCAGGGAGGGACCGAGCCTTCCCGGCACGTTTCTGGGCTGCCGCGGGGGCGCTCGCCGCGCTCCCGGGAGGACGCCGGAGGTGAGCCCGAAGTCACCGGGCGCCGGGGCGGCCGCCTCCCTTCGGCTCTGTCATTTATGTGTGACCGCAGTTCTGCGGACTCCCCTAGTCAGCTGGCCGACCTTAGCGCAGTGGTACCTACCGGGGAACTATTTTGGGGAGTCTGTGCCGACGGCGCGGCGGGGAGGGAGGGCGCCCGGCCACTTGGCAAGGCTTTGTGTTGCCAAAGCGAGAGGAGGGCAATCAAACTGAGACTTTTGAGGGCAGCTAGCTCTGTGCCAGGCTGTGGAGCTTTCGAGGTAGGTCTAAGGATCTTTTTGTTAAATGAATGATGCCCCGTTTAACTCATCCCGGGTCTCCAAGATGCCAATCCTTCCAGAATTTCTTGATCTTGATAGAGTTGATTGTACTTTTGGCATCGCCAGCTCACTCCCTTTCCTCAGGATCGAATTACCCAACAGTGGTCTATGTCGGTTAATTACTTGAGTTAGTCAAAACGTTTGCACTCAAATCTGCTTTTCCGAAGTAAGCCCCTCCCTCCTCCCCCGCATACACTCCTCCCCCGCCCTCCCCCCGCAGCTTTGGGTTTTAACGTTCATATTTCCCTACGTCCGCCTGCAATTTTACAAAGGTGTTGTTTGGAAATACTGTGAAAAATCCTGCAACCTACCAACAGGTTGAGCTCTTTCCCCCTCCCAAGGTCTCGCTCGGCCCCTCCCCCGACCCAACTTTGCTGCGCAGCTGTCTTCCTCCCCCTCCCCCTCCCCCTCCTGATTTCTTATTATTTGCTTTTCAAATTTATTACTTCAACATGGCCTGTGATCTGGAAAAGGGAAGGATTAAATATCCAGAAAAGAGCTGGTGCCTAATAGACTTCTGACTAAACCCAGGAGGAAATTATTCAGTGTTTTATGGGATATTTTGTGGCCACTCTTTTTTTTCTTTTTTTTTTTGAGGGGGGGGGGGGCTTGAAATTAGAATATTTTCAAAGACCCCAAATTGACCCCACTTGGTACATTTTAAATTTCTGTTGGTATAATTAGATACGAATTCTGATTTAAGAATAAAAGCCACATTTGCCAGAGTGCATCTGCTGGAACTCTTGTCGGTGAATAGATATATTTTTAAATATACGATTTCTTTTTAATTGTTCATTATGGGGAATTGAAAGCGAACCATTGTAATGATATGTGCATTTCGTCTCTGTTATATGAGCCATACCTGAGAAAATTAATCTTACCATTTAAAAGTAAACTCTAGGGGGTTTGTGGAGGGAGATGGCTCTATTTATAATTCTCAGCTGCATATACATCCTCTAATATTATGCATGATTTGTTTTTTTAATGCTAACACGGCTGGTAATTAGCTGTATGATTATACTTGTATATTTCATTAGGACTTTGGCTGATGTCATTGTGAATTATTCAGCCATATTAAAACAATTTTCAATTGAGATAATGACACGCCTCAAAATTATGCAAATGCCGACTGCATTGTGCAAAATAATTATGACAAATGTAAAGCAGGTAGAAAGTTTCCCAATGCAGATTGGTTTTCCACCCTGGTGATGTCATTTCCCCCCTGGCCTAAGTTAGTCATTCATTAGGAGAATAGCAGCAGCAGTCTCCTCTGGAGGAGAGTCAAAGAAACCAGCATTTACTGCTGGCACCTAGAGGGGGCAACAGGGCCCTCTCATTAAGAAATTTGCTTTGTTTTCACTTACTCCATTTACTTGTTTATATACATTGAAGTGATTTTTATTATTGATTTTAAATAGTTTTGAATGATGCATTTGCCATTTGCAGCCTGTAACTAAAAGAAAAAGGTTTCTTGGTGATAGGCACTCTTACTTGGAGAAAATGTTCAGCACATTTAATCAGCTAGTACAGTTTATTTTAAGTAACCAAATGGAGGTTAATAATTTCTTGATTGAGCTGACATCAGCATCCATCTCAAAAGGACGTCCAGAACTCAGCATGCTTTTTTGGTTTAAGAGAATCATTCTGCCTTTATGTGATTTCTTGAAATGTAAAGACGTCAGTTCTAAAAGCAGGAAAATGATCATTGTGCAAGTTTAGAAATAGCGTCCCTGTGTGATTTGCTATGATTTGCAGAGGGCTTTTTTTGGAATATTTTCTCATTGATCCTTGCAATCATTGTATGAGGCTGAGGAAGACAGGACTTTGTATACCCATTTTATAGATGGGGGCTTAAACTTGGAAAGATTATATGGTTTGTCAAAGATTGCTAGTCTCGAGCCCAACTTTATGATTGCGTTACCCCAATGAAACCTATGTGTGCAGTTCCTCGTACCTTTTAGAACTATGACAACTCAATTAACTTTGCCAGAGGTCGCCAGATATTTAGGTAGTAAAACCATTCTTATTCTATAATGTTTAGTAATTCTAGCCAGCGTTTTATAACAGGAACAGTTATATTTTAATAATTATTATAAGCATTAATAATTGGTTATTTATTTAATAATGATAGTGATGATCTGCATGCTTATATACACTGCTGCCTTGATACATTTCCATTGCTGGCAACTGGTCTGGTGGGGGGAAGTGTTCCAAAAAGAAACACTTTGATTCTGTAACTTGCTATCTGTTTGACCTTGAATAATCATAAGTACTTTGAGCCTTTATTTTTCAGCTACAAAATGGGAACATATAGTAAGGATGACTGTGGATTATTGTGAGGACCAAGAGGAATTATATGGGTAGAAATGCTTTATATATTGAAAAGTGCTTACATAAATAGAAAGGAGTTCTAATTATAGTGGCCTTTGTTCTAGATATTCTTGCCTTTAAAAACAATAGCAAAGCATAATAACTTGAGTCTGTGGAGGTCCTTGGACCTAATCATGATACTGTCTTAAATTACCATGAAAGTGAATAGCAGGGCCATGTGCAAGGAGTTAAGTGTCTTTAGTAATTACCCACAATTGCCACATTCAGCCAGTAGCTCTTCAGAGGAGGAAAATGGCAAAGTAGGCGGGTAATTGGTTCTGTTACTGGGTAACTTCTGATTACATTCATTTTCAAATTGCCAAGTGCTTAATCTATTGGCAATGTACCCTCTTAAAATAGGTGATGTGCAGGCTTGGATTTGAGCCTGACCATCCATGGCATGAGTTTTGCATGCAGGTCTGCTAATCACTTGCAACAGTGAATATGAATGCCTGAAGTCTTGATGTCAGACAGTTAAGATCAAGCAGACCTGGGTGTTTTGGATTCCAACATGCATTCAGGATTTGTAACACTATTTAGCTGTCATAAGACTCATCATCCAATTAAAAAATGTCAAAAGTACATATTCTGGGGCCCCTATTGCAATTAATTCAATTAAAATCTTTGAAGTTAGGTTCAAATTCAAACTTTTAAACATCTTAAACAGCTCCTCTTAGCTGTATTATCTTAGGCAAGTTCTGAACTCTCTATGCCTTAGTTTTTCCATCTGTAAAATGGAAATACAGTACTTATTTCTTAGGAATATTTAAAGGATTAAATGAGTTAATACATGTAAAGTGTGTACAATTAAAGTTGACCCATGGTAGATACTTTGATAATGATTGACTGCTATCATTGCCATTAATATTAGTATTTTTGTTCTCATGGAAGTTTGAGATGACTAAAGTGGATCTTACTGAAAAAAATCTTTTCTGTATGAGGGGTTGGTACCTGGGTTAGTTTGCTAGAACATGTAACCATCCATGTTTGCTAGAACATGTCCCTTCAGCTCAGGCTTTATCTGTTTATTGCATTTAGTTGTATCCTCAAAATAAAAGGCTTCTGAAGGATTTACATTTTGCTATTGAAGTATGCTGTCAACTGGATTGGCAAGATGTTTTTAAAAGGTTGCATAATTTGATCATGTATGGGGTTACGCAGACACATTTTGGAATCCAGAAAGTGATGGCTTGGTCTTGATCTTTTTGGATAGTCCCTAAGCTTTGGTCTGAATGTATAAACTGATTTTTTAGAGATTCTGATATTCCTGATGTCACTGGCCTTGGACAATGTTTTTAACTTTTCTGAGCC